TGCAACACTTTGGCTGCTTCTAATTTGCCAAGTCACCTATGAATGGATCTGCCCGGCAAAGCCAAGTTCATACAGGACTCTGGAAGGTAAGGTAGCCAGAAGATAACATCTTAAATTAGTCCTTTGTAGGACTGGTAGTAGGGGTGAGGGTCTTAAACTAACTCGGGTTAGACTGGAATCTGCCTCCTGAAAACTGAGATTATAGGCATGAGTTACATCATCTGGCTAAGCTAGTCCATCCATCTGCCATTCAGAAAACCAAGCGTAAAAGATGCTTAACATAAGTGTTTAGCAGACTAGAGAAGGTTAAAGTGCTTGCCATCCAGGTATGGGGACCTCAGTTATATTCCCATATATGTAACTGCACCATATAAAGAGCTGGGTATAAACTGGCCGTGGTGGCTCACACCTGGAATCTCAGCACGTGGGGAGGCAGAGGCAGGTGGATCTCTGTGAGTTTGAGGCCAGCCTGGTCTACACAATGAGTCTAGGACAGTGAAGGGTACACAGAAAGACCTGTCTCGAGAAACAAACAAACAAAAAAAAGCTGGGTGGAGTAGTGTGTACCTATGAATTGCCATCTGAGAAAAGGGAGACAAAAAAATCCTGGAATTTGCTGCCCAGCCAGTCTAGTTGAACAGTAAGCTCTAGGTTCAATGAGAGACCTTGTCTCTAAAAGGCTAAGGTGGGGAGAGAGGGAGAAAGATACGCAATATCAGCTTCTCACCTACACAAACATATATCACATATACACAGACATGAATGTTTATGAAGTCTTGGGAACTGAAGGTAATGTCATCCATTTCATATACAGTAGTTGGCTCTAAATTCATTAAAATCATAGTAAATAAATCTTATCATTTATGAGTTATATTGTATGAGTTCACTTTACTTATGTATATATACATGTGAACTGAAAGTTTCTGGTTTCTTTGAAGACTGAGTTTTGTCATGTGATGTTTTGCGGTGAGTTCTCAACTGTGAGGGGTGTGACTTTCACCAGCTGAGAACATCCCATCTGTGGGTGGACTCTGAGGAGAGGACATATGTGGAGGCAAATGTGTAGTGATAGACTTCTCTGTGCTGACCTTTGTGCTTCGATACTTGACTTCAAAGAGAGAAACGTTCCAGAGAGCTTCTCTGGGCAATCCAACTGAGTCTTGAGGCTTTCGCTGACTTCTGTTACTGCTTAGTGTTGGCCTTTGGACTAGACTGCTGGTATCCGGACAACTGAGTCTGGTAATCCCCTAGTGACCCATTGACCCTAATCAACAGGAAATAGATAAAAGAGGACCACAGCCCTTTTCCCTACTAATCTACCTAAGGTTGGGGGTTGGAAGGGAGGTAAAGGTGCTAAATAAAGTAGGTTTGGTGAAAAATCTAAGCATACATACATGAGCAAGTATGTTTTTGTTTTTTGTGAGACAGGGTCCGTCTATTTAGTCCTGCTCCTGAGTGCTGGTATAAAAGTCATATACCACTGCACCCAGCCTGTCTGTTTTTGTTTTTTTTTAATTACATTTTTCTTTATTAGAGATGGTGGTGGTATGTGGAGGTCAAAAGGCAGGACTACTGAGAGTCAATTCTATCCTTTTCCCATATGTGTCCTTGGTATCAAACTCAGATCATCAGTCTTAGAAGCAAGCACCTTTACCTGCTGGACCATACCTCCTGAACCCCCTTCACTACATTTTTTTGAGATGGAGTCTGTAGCTCTGACTGGCCTCAAAGTCACTATAAAACCTTGAATTCCTGTGCTCTTCCCTCCATCTCCTATCTGCTGTGATTATAGGTATGTGCGCCACACCTGGCTTTCATGGTAGTGAGAATGGGACCCAGAGCTTCCTGTACATTAGGGAAACAGTCTACCAAAGGACCTATGTCATCAGTCCCCTGACACTTAAAAAATTTCCTTCTTTTAGAAGGGGGAGATAGACCTGGAGAGGACAGGAGCTCCAAAAAGAAAACACGGAGGAAAACAACAACAACAAAACAAAAACAAAAAACAAACAAAACAAAACAAAAAAAAAAAAACTGGGCCCTGGGGTCCTAGCAGAGACTGATACCCCAACCAAGGGCCATGCATGGAGAGGACCTAAAACCCCTGCTCAGATGTAACCCCATAGATTCAGTCTCCAAGTGGGTTCCCTACTAAGGGGAGCAGGGGTTGTCTCTGGCATGAGCTCAGTGTCTTGTTTGGCTCTTTGATAATCATCCCCTGGGGGTAGCGGTGCAGCCTTGCCAGGCCACAGAGAAAGACAGTGCAGCCAGTCCTGATGAGGCCTGATAGGCTAGGGTCAGGTAGAAGGGGAGGAGGACCACTCCTATCAGTGGACTAGGGAAGGGGCACAGGGGGAGAAAAGGGAGAGAGGGTGGGACTGGGAGGAGATGAAGGAGGGGACTACAGCCAGGATACAAAGTGAATAAATTGTAAATAATATAATAAATTGTAAGTAATATAATTGTATATAATATAACTGTCAATAATAATAAGTAAAAAAATTCCTTCTTTTAAATGCTAAAATATATATATATATTTTTTTTTTATTGTAAGCATGTTCTAGACCAGTGGTTCTAAACCTTCTTAATGTTGAGACCCTTTAATACAGTTCCTCATGTTGTGTTAACCCCAACCAAAAAAATTATTTTTGTTGCTTTTTCATATCTCATTTTGCCTCTGTTATAAATTGTAATGCAAATATCTACGTTTTCTGATGGTCATTGGCTACCCCTGTGAAGGGGGTGGTTGGCTCCCGTAGGGATCGTTCCTCACAGGTTGAGAACTGTTCTTCTAAACTAATCTCTTCTTTCATATACCAACCTCACTTAATTTTACCCTATATTTTATGTATTATCAGGCTATCCTCTCTCAATCATCTCTTTGTTATGTAGGAGTGCCTTCTGCATGTGTATCTACATGCCAGAAGAGGGCGTCAGATCTCTTTTAGGTGGTCCTTGAGCCACCGTGCGCTTGCTGGAAACTGAACTCAGGACCTCTTGGAAAAGAACCCAGTGTTCTTTCATTTATTTTATTTTTATATTTTTTATTTATTACAACTTATTCACTTTGTATCCCGGCTGTGGCTCTCTCCATCATCTCCTCCCAGTCCCACCCTCCCTCCGTCTTCTCCACCCATGCCCCTCCCTAGACCACTGATAGCAGAGGGCCTCCGCCCCTTCCATCTGACCCTAGCTTATCAGGTCTCATCAAGACTGACTGCACTGTCTTCCTCTGCGGCCTGGTAAGGCTGCACACCCTCAGGGGGAGGTGATCAGAGTCAGCCACTGAATTCCTGTCAGAGACGGCCCCTGTTCCCATTATTAGGGAACCAACTTGGAGACTGAACTGCAATGGGCTACATCTGAGCAGGGGTTCTAGAACCCAGTGTTCTTAACCACTGAGCCATCTCACCAGCCCAAACCAAATATATTTTTTTAATAATTTATTTTTATTTTATGTACTTTGATGTTTTGCTTGCATGTATATCTGTGTGAGGGCGTCAGATTTCTTGGAGTAGCGAACTGCCATGCACATGCTGGAAACTGAATCTGGGTGCATCTGGATGAGCAGCCAGTGCCCTTAAGGACCGATCCATCTCTACAACTAGTATTTTACAACCTCAAAATCTTTTCAACTTTTGTACATGCTCTTACATAGTATATTATACTGTGGATTTTGTGAACTGTTTAAGGCTAGCCACAAGGCTATGTGTATATTATACCATTTTGAAGGTAGAATTAAACAATGTTTACTGCATAGGTGTTTTGTCTGCTTAACACAAAGCCAGAAGAGGGTATTTGATCCTCTGGAACTGGAGTGAATTCATGTGGATACTGGAAATTGAATCTGAGTCCCCTTAAAGAGTAGCAAATAATCTTAACCATTTCTCCAGCCCAAAAGAGGAATTTGGGTCAGGCCTTCCAGCAGAAGCAGGTAGATCTCTGTGAATTCAAGGCCAGACTGTTCTATAGAGCAAGTTCCAGGACAGGCAGAGCTAAACAGAGAAACTCTGTCTTAAAAAAAAAAAAAAAAAATCAGAAATATTTCTGAGATGCATTTGTTTTTGAAATACAATCTCACTGAACCTTACACTTCCATTTTGGCTGTTTGTTAGCCAGTGAGCTCTGAAATCCACCTTTGTTCTCCAGTGCTGGAATCACAGGGATATATGGCTATGACCAGCTTATGTGGGTGCTGGGGATTTGAACTAATGTTCTCATGCTTGCACATGACCCTTACCTACTGAACTCTTTCCCAGACCCTTGAAAGTGGCTCTGTGCTATTTTTTCATGTTCAAAACACTGTTACTGTCTTGGGTCAGGCTACACAGCTTGTAGCCAGAAATATCTGCTGACATTACCTTCTCCTTGCTGCATGTACTAATGGGCTAAGCCTGTGTACTATTAACTAAGCCAGCTGCTTCATAGCAGAGCTGCTCCCTCCCTTTGGGAACTAAAGGGAAACCTTGCATTGTCTTCTGAACTAAAGGTTCTCTTCAGGACCCTACTCTGCTGTTTGTGGTACTAGGATTTCCTAATGAAGCTCACCTGAAGGACAATGTATCTCATATCCTCTCTCCCTTGAACCATGCCATTTTCTCACAGCAGTCCTGATTTAAACCTAGGAAGTATATTTGGCACTTTAAAAATTTTGTTATGCTAGGCATGGTGGTGCAGGCAATCTACATAGAATTCCAAGCCAGCCAGAGCTACATAGTGAGATCCCCAAAAATTATTAGATTTTACATGTCCATTCATTTATGTGCGTGCACATGTGCTCGCTTCTCTAGAGGTCAGAGGAGAACTTGTATGAGTGGGCCATAAGGCTTTGTGGCAGGTGTTTTTACCCACTGAGCCCTTGAGAGTGCTTTCGAATTTGCAAATTTATCATAGTATTTCATTTCCTGTGTAACCCTGCCAGAGAAGGAAGGACAAAACCAGTTGGTGGGCAGCTGGATAATTTCATCAATAGTCAGAAACACATATAGAAAACAGTGGTTTTAATAAATTGATAAAAGAACAGTAACTTAGGGAAAACACAATGAAAATCCTCTGGAGGACATGAACAATTTATACATCCACTAACAAAATAAGACATTCCAAATTTGTCTCTCAAACTTTTTAAGTCCATCAGGGTTGTTTCTGAACCTGTTATGAGAATGGACCACAACATTTGGGTTTATGATTAGTTGCTTGCTGTGTTGTGCTGGTTCAGAATGACATTTAGGAACCATTGTGTTTCGCCCATGTGGATAGCACATATACTAGAATTAAAATGAAGGCCAAGAGATGGCTTAGTGTTTAAAAGTGGAAACTACTGCTCTAGGGTATCCTATGCCTCCTGCCTCCAAGAACACATACACTCGCACCCAACACTGGTACTGGGAAATCAAGCTTGGGTCTTCTATAAGAGCAGTATGCACTCTTAGCTACTGAGCCGCCTCTACATTTCTCCTGTTAGATTAGGTTTTTAACAAATGAAGAACAAATTAAAACAATATTAGAAAAACCACATTTAACCTTTTTGGAAAGTCTGGGTTTCTGTCCTAACATGTATTGTTTTTGTTTTTGTTTTACTGAGTTTTCATCTTCAGCGATATGATCTTTCATTGTGATCATATGATGTCTGTTAAGCCGAAAAACAATGTCGAGAGATCTATTTCCTTGGTTTCCCCTTTAGATGTACTAGTAAACTTGCACTCTAATGCCTTTTTCAACAGTTCCTCAAAAACTTCATTATGCATGTAAAAAAAAATGTAGCCAGTGTGACGCCTGCCCTCCTGAATAAAGGAATCTGGAATCTCAAACACTTCGATATCACTGTACAGGAGCCATGCTTGCTTTTGAAAATCATACACATCACTTACATAATGGCCTGAATTTGGGGAGCTCCCAAAATGGCTGACAACACTGACAAGCCTGTAATTCTGAGGATCATCTTCCATCTCCACATTTGATTCCTCAGTGGCATTTACTATGTTGTTGCTTTCTGTAACACTGTTATTTTTAGGATTGTTATCAGGACCAAACACACCAAGGGAATGTGGGTCATCTACCTGAGCTCTCAATTCTGAAGACCCACTCACACCCTTCCCTGTGCCTTTCTGAGTACTAACACTTGGATATGATGCCTGCAGAAGCAATTCATTGCTCATTCCATTCCCATGATTCTGGTAGAGCTGTTCTACCATTTCTTGAGATCCTTCTAGAATCTTCCATTCTTTAAGATCACAAAAATATTTTGACAACTCAGTGGTAGTGTGACAATCTGACTTTTCATGTACATTAACTTTCTCATAGTCCTTAAAATTTGCATCCTCAGGTACCTCTGTAAGACCTAGGTCTTGTATGCTGACAGGCTCACAGATCATAGAGAGGAAGCCTTTTCCTTCACCCACTGAGTCAGCTACTAGCAAGGTCTTTTCACTGAGCATCCTGTATTCTGTCATCACTAGTTCTGGCTCCAGCTTAGAACCACTTTCCAAGTCTCTCTGCTGCTGTTCCCCACCTGCATCCTTGTACATTCTCAGGAAGTTTTGTATTTCAGCATCCTCATCAGACCCAACCTGAAGAATTGTGGGATCACTGGATTCTGAAGTCACCTTTCTAGATGGCATTGACTGGTTGAGGATCTTAGGCATCACCCCTTGAGAAACATTTGAGATATCATAGTCACCATTAGGGGATGTATTGTCCAAGGGGAATGGTGGCTTCCTGTTTCTATGGCAATGGGAAGATATATTTAAATACTTAGAAATCTCAACTGGCTGCTGACTCTTCACCAGCAACTTGTCAGTGGTAACTTGGTAGCGTTTCAAATGAACTATGAGGACCTTGGGGAGTCTCCTCAATGTGTACCTGAGAACAGAATTCTTGTTCTTGCATTTCTCACAATTATGCTCAATCTTCTCTGGTTTAAAGAACAGATCAAAAGACCTTTGAATTGATAGAGGGCTTTCTTTTGTCCCTTGGTGCAGGTCAATGGAGAGGTAATTACTCACTTCGGTTTTGAGAGTAGCCTCACCACAACCTTCACAAATAATGGATTTTTGCAGCTCAATTTCAAAATTAGCACGAACGGGACAAACAAACCTTTTGAAAGCAGCAGTCCCAGTGTACATTAGTGGAGATGATTTCTCACCTTTGTTCTCTCTCTCAGAATTCCACATGGCATTTAGTTTTTCCATGCTCAGTTTTAACAGGTCTAAACACACACTTAAGAATTCATGGGCATCATTCTGTTCATTGTATGAGAATGTGTCTGTAACCATGGAAATGCTTCTCATCACATTCATGAGGAATGCTCCCTTGATGTCTACATCTTGAATGTCTTTCACCACAAGAAGCTGAGTTAAGGGCTTGATAAGATCATCACCGGAAACACTGTCAAATGGGATACCTTGTGTGAGTAAGTCCTTTGCAAAGGTTGGGATCCCAAAGACAGATTGTAAAATGGAGTTCATGTAACAGGTATTTCCCAAATTGGGGAAGCCTTCACGTTTTAGTTGCTTTGGTCCATTTCTTTCATCAAAAAATTTTGAGTTTGGAAGAATGGTGTCACCTAGGTTAGGCTTTCCGTAGGAGTTGGGACTGAATAAAAAAGGTTCAAGTGTCCAACTGTTATACTTTTCCTGATCTCTTATAGCCATCAATTTCTCTGCTTTGCTTCTTACATTCTTGGATTTCTTTTTTGGTTCAAGATTACTTTCTTTGAGAATGTCCTCATTCGTTTCTATACTGGATGATGTTGCTGTCTTCCTCTTTTCACCTCGTTTTCCTTCTCTCTTTTTTCCAACATGACAGCTGGTGGAGTTTGACACAGAAATTGGCATCTTCCTGGAGAATGGTATCCCACTTCCTGTTGTGGTATTCAGAGGTCCACAAACTGGCTTGCGGTGCTCCCCACAGAATGGAACACTGTTTTCAGGAACATCATGATTACTCTTGGGTTCCAGAGGTTGTTGAGATTCACATGGACTAAACAAATCCAGGAATGACTTCAAATGTTTGAAGTCTGTGGAGGATAACTTGTCAATGAGTAAGGAAGTGTCATCTCTCAACGTTAAATGCAGATGATGCAGTCCCAGCTCACAACCTCCAACCACGACACTGGCAACATTGTCATCCAGCTGAAAAACCCTTCTCCTTTCTTCCAACTTGAAAGAAACCACCAGATTAACTTTCTGTTTTCTTTCTACTATTTGGATGTCTGCTGCTTTCCACTGAGACGCTCTGGTGTGCTTGCTCCTGTCCTTGCTTCGGATTTGGACAAAACCATGCATCTTTAGGTGAGCCATTCTTTCTTTACAGATAAAATATGTATAATCTAAAAACAAATACAAAAACAGCACACACAGACATTATGACTCAGAATGGAAAAAACTTACTTTTGTTTAGTATTTACAATTTTTGCTTATCAATTACAATTAATAAAAATTCAAGTTACTTATATCCTTTTACTAAAAAAATATTTAATTATTTGTATGTGTCTGTGCACATGTTAGTTGAGTGCCCTCAGAATCCAGAAGAGGGCACCAGATCCCCTAGAACTAGAACTAGTAACTACCCAGTGTAGAGGTTAGAAACTGAACTCTGGTCCTCTATAAGAACAGTTAAGTGCCTCAAAAGCAGGGCCATCCTTTGGTTGGCCATTCCCTCAATCCTTGCTCTATCCTTGTTCCTGCACATCTTGTTGGCAGGACAAGGTTTTGTGGGTGGCTTGGTGTCCTTATCCTTCCACTGGAAGACCTGCCTGGCTATAGGAGTAGGCTACTTCAGGCTCCATATCTCCCGCTGTGAGGAGTTTCAGCCAGGGGGATCCCCATAGATTTCCTGGGGCCTCCATATCCCAGATTTTTGGAAAATCCCAGAGATGCCCTCTACCTCCTATTCTTTCCCCTGGCCCCCTCTCCCCAGGTCTCCCTTCTCCTAATACCCATCCCTGCTCCCCTCCCCTTTCCTACCGAGTTCCTTCCTTCCTTTCACCTCCAATGCCTATTTTATTTCCCTTCTGAGTGAGATGGGAAAACCCTCATTTTGGCTCTCCTTGTTAACTTCCTTGGGTCTGTGGACTGTAGCATGGTTATCCTGTACCTTATGGCTAACATCCACTTATCAGTAAGTACATACTAAGCATGTTTTTTGAGGTTTGGGTTACCTCACTGGCTCTGCCTGAAACCCATCCAGTGGGAGAGAACCAATTCCCCCACAGCGTGACTTCCCTGAAGGAATGGACTATCCGCTGTGTCTGTGGACTAAAGTAGACTTTCCCCTAAGTTTCCCTGCAAACTGTTTGCTTTTCATCAGGGTGCGTTATCATGGCAATAGCAATGAAACTACAGGTACCTTAAGTAAAGGGCGGTAGCAACGTACGGCACGTCTCCTCACTGGTGCCGCTGCTCTTCTCCCGATGAAGAGTGGAGCCAATGGATGTTCTGGTCAGGTCAAGTTCTAGTCTCTCACGCAAATGAGGCAGTTAAGAAGATAGGAGGTTATTGAGTAGGGCTGTTGCTCTGGTGCTGGCTTTTCTGATTACAGCTTCCAGACTCAGACCCACATCCTGCAGTTGCCACATGGTATAATAATCAGGAGTACAAATGTGCAAGTATACACAGATTAAAGCACTCGGCATGCACAAGGCTCTTCATCAATCCATAGAATCACACACACACACACACACACACACACAATTAAGTGCTGTGATTATATATGACTATAATTTCTGCACTTAGGATACTAAACCAAGAGATGGACAGATATGAGACACGGATGGGGTACATAGTGAGACCACCATCTCGAAAGGGGGGAAGGAGACAGGAGCAGAACCCAAACCAAAGAGATCAGAGAAAGAGGAGAGAGAAGGGGTGAGTCTGAGGCTAACCAAGCCTACATTAGACTGCTGTCAAAAACTGAACGTAGCTGGCAGGATAGTTGAGCGAGTAAAGGTGCTTGCTGCCAAGCCTGACAGCCTGAGTCTGATCCCTTGCGCCTGCAGGTAGAATGGGAGAGGGCCTGCTGCACACAGTTCTCTGACTACATGTTCCAATTAGGAAGTGCAAGGACACAGCATATACAAATAAATTCAAATATAATTAAAAAACACTTGCAGGCAAGGCACTTTTGATCCCAGCACTTAGGAGACAGGCAGGCACATCTCTGTGGGTCTGAGACTAGCCTTAATCTGAGTTTGAGAGAGAGTTCTAGAACGGCCAGGTTTGTAGAGAAAAGAAAGACCCTGACTCAGGAACAACAAAGTGTGAGGGGGCGGACTACACAAAACAAAACAGAATCTAGAGTTGAGACACCCAGAACTCTCCTGCATCCTCAGATATCTGACACGAAACATGGAGGTGTGTTTGCCAGGAGAGGTGTGAGATGTAAAGGGGGCAGCCCCATACCAGATCAAAACTACAAATTCAAAAGAAAAAAAAAACAACTTCCCATTTTTTTTGAAGACTGGGTTGCGAGGGAAAGGGGGACCTGGCTGGCTGTGGTGACACACAGTACAAAAGGAAACATGACTTGAGGGCTAGCCTGGTCTACATAGCAAGTCCCAGAAAAGCTTCATAATAGTCTCTGCTTCAAGATTATTTTTTATTGCATATGTTTGGGTGTTTTGCCAGCTCACTGTCTGTGTACTACATGCACGCAGTGCCCAGAAGGGCAGGTAGTTTGGAACTGTAGCCACAAAGGGTTATGAGGTATGATTTAGGGGCCGGGACCTTAACAGCTAAGCCATCTCCCTAGCTCCGGATCTTAGAACTCATAAAGAGAAGTAAAGACCCTAATGTAAGGAGAGGGTTAGGGAATAAACAGAATTATCCTCAGTGAGTCTTAGGTTCTACAGAGCTAATAACTGACAATGCTCAAATTGTGGGTAGCTCTGGCTGTCCTGGAACTCGCTATAGAGACCAGGCTGGCCTCAAACATGCCGAAATCCTTCTGTTTCCCAAGTGCTAGAATTAAAGATGTGCCACTGCCACAACCCATCTGAGATATCACAAACACTACCTGGCTGAGATAACACACATACACACACTTTTTTTGAGACAGAGTTTCTGCTTACCTTGCCTGTCCTGGACTTGCTTTGTAGTCCAGGCTGGTCTTGAACTCAGTGAGCCGCCTTCCTCTGCCTCCCCAAGTGCTGGGATTACAGGCATGCACCACCACACCAGGAAAAATAATTTTTAAAATCAAATGAAAACAAAATATCTGGACCTAATAGTGCAAGCCTGTAATCTCTGGGAGACTGAGGCAGGAGAATTAAAAATTCAAAGCCAGGTGGGAGAGGGTGGAATCTGTAAATTCACAAGCCTGAGTTCCAGGACAGCCAGGGCTATAGAGACCCTGTTTTTTGCAATTGGTATTGATAACTGCAGACTTAAGAGTTGAAAATGAGAGACAGAATATTTATGTAATCTTGTGATTGAGTGCTCCACCTGCATGAACACCTGCCTGCCAGATGAAGGCACCAGATCCCAGTATAGAAGATTGTGAGCCACGACGTGGTAGCTGGGAATATGAACGAGACCTTCAGAAGAGCAGACAGTGCTAGGAACTGCTGAGCCATATCTCCAGCACGAAAGAGAACTCTGAAAGAGTTCTTTGAAAGAGTTTCAGAAACTCTCTGAAAGAGTTTCTGCTGCACTTTGACCTGTGCAGCAGAAGCAAGATGACCAAAGAAATGTCATCGCGCTGCCGCAGTGGCTTTAAAGCCTTCAGAAGTCAACCTGTGGCAAATGTGGCTACCCTGCCAAGCACAAGAGGAAATATAACTGGAGTTCCAAGGCTAAGAGACGAAACACTACCAGGATCAGGTAGATGAGGCACCTAAAAATTGTCTGCCACAGATTCAGGCCTGGATTCCATGAAGGAACAACACCTAAACCCAAGAGGGCAGTTGCTGAAGCATCCGGGTCATCTGAGGATTTCAGTCAGCCATACAATAAATGATCTGGTTTCAAAAACTAAAATACAACAAATTGTGATAGGGATCCTGAAATGTAGCTCTGGCAGGGGTTGGGGTGAGGAAGGCTTTCTTTAAGGAGCTGAGAGTTTGACCATGCTCCAGTGAGTATAAGACCAACACAAATTGGACTTGCTTTTTTTCTTTCTTTTCTCCGGGGTGGTCACAAGGTTGGGGTGATGGACCAGGGAAAGGGGGGAAAGGAATGTGATCAGGTGCATTATGTAAAAACTCCCAAATAACCAATAGTAATATTATGTTGGGAAAATAGAAAAGAAAAAGCTTCCTTTAGTGGCTGCAGGACAACATCTGGGCTAAACTGGAGAAAGAAAAGGTACTGAGAGAAAATGGAATTTAGCTGAGAAACCTCAAGCCAAGAATGCATGGGGCTCAGCAGGAAGGCCTTTAATCCCAGCACTCCAGGAGGCAGGGGCAGGTAGCTCTCTCGGAGTTGGAGGCCAGCCTGGTCAAAGTCTCAGGGAGCCACACAGCCATACAAAGAAACCCTGTCTTAAAAAAAAAAAAAAAAAAAAAGCCAGGGCTACACAGAGAAACCTTGTCTTTTTGGTTTGGTTTGGTTTGGTTTTGGTTTCTCTGTGTGGCCTTGGCTGTCCTGTACTTTGTAGACCAGGCTGGACTTCAATTCACAGCAATCCACCTGCCTGGGATTAAAGGCATGCACCACACCTGGCTCTAAAAAGTATTTTGTTTGTTTTTTTTCCAGGGGCAAGGGTGTTCCAGACAGGATTTCTCTGTGTAATCCTAGGTGTCCACCACATCCCCAGACCTTGTCTTGAAAAAAAAGAAAAAAAGAAAAGGAAACAAACAAAAACAAAGAAAATCCTTCAAGCCGGGTGTGGTGGCACATACCTTCAATTCCAACACTCAGGGGGCAGAGGCAGATCTCTGTGAGTGCAAGGCTGAGTTTGAGGCTAGCATCATCTACAAATCTATGAATTCCAGGACAGCCAAGGCTGTTACAGAGAAACCCTTCCTGTCTGAAAAAAAAACAAATAGAGAAAGACAAAAAGTCTCAGGCTTAACATGGCGGCTCATGTCCTTAAACTCAGCACTGGATAGGCAGATGAAAGCATATCCTCTTGTGTGAGTTCCAGGCTAGCCTCGGCTACACAGTTGAGACCCAGTTTCAAAAACAAACACCTCAGGAGCTTCGAGTTTAGCTCAGTCAGTAAAGTGATTGCTTACCACGCACAAAGCCCTGGGTTTGATCCCCAGGGCCTTATAAATGGAGCTTACTGGTTCACACCTGTAACTTCTGCTCTTAGGAAGTGGAAGCAGGAGAATCAGAGTTTCAAGGTTATCCTCTGCTACATAGCCAAGAAGAGTTCAAGGTTGGACTACATCCATGAGACCCTTATCACGCCTCCACACCTTTCAGAATATGAGTCTAAGGACTCAGGACACAGCTATAAAACCTGACATATCAAATAGCTTCAAATTCAAAAGTGTCAGAACAATGATTGAGTGTGGAGAAAGCCTACACAAAGGGAGGAAATCAGTGTGAACTATTGCTCTGACAGGAGAGCAACAACACCTAGATTATATACAGACCACAAAAACAAATAGCCAAACTACAAGAAAACCAAACAGAACAGAGCGTCCAACCAGTGAATAATCAAACATTCAACAGTCAGAAAAAGAAATTCAAATTACCGTGAAATACATCTATAGCCATCAGGAAAAGAAATACTAATCAACAGCACAGAGGTAGGTAGGTGATCATAGTCTCACATGCCTTTAATCCTGCCACCCCAGAAGCAGAAGCCAGAAGATCTCTGAGTGAGGCTAGCCAGGTCTACAGAGAAAGTTCTAGGGCTAAACAGAAAAACCCTGTCTCCAAAACTCAAAACAAAACCCAATAGGTAAATAAATAGAATGAGATTAAAATAAAAATAATCTTAACTAAATGAAAATCTAATAATAGAAGGAAAACTAAAAAACAGAGCTACAGTTTGACCCTGCTATACCTCCTGGTGCTTATCTGAAGGAATCTGTGTCAGGGAACAGCACGGGACCTGAACACCTATGGTTCTTACACAATTATAGAAAACAAGCAATTTGTGGGATCAGCTTAGATGTCACGAACAGGTGAATGGATAAATAAAACAGGTGTAGAGATAAATGAATATCAATGTATACGGACACATTGGAGTTTGATTCAGCCAAATAAGAATAAAATTATATCATTAGCAGAAATATTTGTAATGGAAATCATTCCAAGCAAAATAAACACCATTCCAAACGACAAATATTTGATAACCTCTCTCACATGCAGAATCTACCTTTTTTACAAAAGGCTTTGAAGTAGAAGAGGGAATCCTGAGGAAGGGAAGTCGTCTTTGAGACAGCAGATGCAGATAAAAAGTGGGGTTTTGTTGTTGTTTTGTTTGTTTGTTGGTTTTTTAAAGAACACATGAACCTGGGTGAGGTAGCACATGCCTGTGATCCCAGCCCTTGAGGCAGAGGTAGGCAATCTCTGTGAGTTCAAGGACAACCTGGTCTACAAAGTTAGTCCAGGACATCAAGGGTTGTTACACAGAGAATCCCTGTTTCAAAAAAAAACAAAATTAAAATAAAATAAAGAGCACATGAATTTGGGAGAGAAAAGTGGTGGGGAAGATAATGGTGGAACTGGAAGAAAGGGAAACAGGAACGGATTTGACTGAATTTTATATACTCATTCCCAGCACCTGAGAGGCAGAGGCAGGCAAGGCTCTGTGAGTTCCAGGCCAGCCTGTTCTGCAGAACAAGTTCCAGGCCAGCCAGGGCTACACAGAGAAACCCTGTCTCAAACAAAACAAAAATCCTCGTATGAGATTCTCAAACAATAAAAAGATAACTGGGGCAAGAATGACCAACCACATTATATGCTATATTAAATGTCATGACGAAGCCCATTACCTACAAATACATACTAATTTAAAAAGAACTTTTTTTGAGGCAGGGTTTCATATAGCCCATGATAGCCTCAGATTCACTAGCTGAGGATGACCCGAAAGCCTAGATCTTCTTGATCCAGCTCTTTAGGGGTGCCGGGGTTATAGAGTGTTCCATCCTGCTCAGTTTGTGAAGGGCTGGGGACCAAGCCAAGGGCTTACTTAGAGCATTCTGGGTCAGGATTCCAGGAAGGATTCTACAGTGCAGCTTCCATCAGCCTTCGTAGTTTTGTCCTTTCTGGTCATTTGTTTCACCATTTCTTTCCAGGCAACCCAGAGAGCTTGCTCCCATTGGGCCTTCTGATATCAAACATATCCACTTAGTGATACAATCTGAGGACAATAAAGTTTTACTCACCAGATGTCTACGCAGGCATGTCACAGCTGTGGAGGGCTGCTCAGGGTCCTGCTGCAGGTTGTTAACTGAAAGAAGGGTCAGACATAAAACCCAGTTTCATTTAAACCGTCCTAAGAAAAGCCACGCCCACTCTGTGATGTCATCGTCTCTTTGGAAAGGGAATGGGAGGGAGAAAAAAAAAGGGAAAAATTAGGAAAAAAAAAAAAAAAAGGAAAAAAGCCGGGTGTATCTAGACCATACTGACCTTGAACTCACAGATATCTGCCTGCCTCTGCCTCCCAAGTGCTGGGATTACAGGCACGAGCAACCACGTCAGCACTTGTAAAGCAGAGGCAGGAGGATTTCTATGAATTAGAGTCCAGCCGGTTCTACAGAGTGAGTTCCAGGACAAAGAACCCTGTCTCTAAGAATCAGAGGGAGAGAAAAACAGAGACTGCAGGGCTTGGTGGCAAATGCCTTTAATACCAGCACTCAAACAAACAAAAAGAGGCTGGAGAGATGGTTCAGTGTTTAAAAGAATTTCTTACTCTTCCAGAGAACCCCCCCCCCATCCCGCCAAGAAAGCCTCAATGTTGGGGTCCCAGCACCCACTTTGCTGGGTGTGTGTGTGGGGTGTTTCACAATTGTCTGTAACTCCAGCTCCTGGGATTCTGATTCTTTTTGATACTCACATAATTGCATAAAATGAAAATAAATCTAAATTGGGTATGGTGACCTATGTCTTTAATCCCATCACTCAAGAGGTAGAGGCAAGCAGAGTTCAGTGAGAACCAGCAAAGTGTAGCTGGGAAGAGAGAAAAGCAGCAGCCTACAGAAAGAAAAAAAGATTTTTATCAAGTACACATCCTCTGGAGTGCTAATAGCCAAGATAAGTAAGGGACTCAAAAGCTAGATATCAAAAAACAAAAATCAAACAACAACAACAAAAAAAGCAACCAAATTAAAAAATGGGGTACAGATCTAAACAGAATTTCTTTTCTTTTCTTTTTTGGTTTTGGCTTTAAGGTGGTTTTGTTTATTTGTTTGTTTTGGGTTTTTTTTTTTTTTTTTTGAGACAGGGTTTCTCTGTGTAGCCATGGCTGCCCTGGAACTCACTTTGTAGACCAGGCTAACCTACACTAGTTCTGTAGGCCAGGCTGGCCTTGAACTCACAGAAATCTGCCTGCCTCCGCTCCTGAGCGCTGGGATTATAGATGAAGATGTACACCAGCCACCTTGCGTCTTTTCACAGTGCTGTGGGTAGAATCTATGGTTTCCAGCATGCACAGCAAGCAGTTTACCAAGGAGCTACAACCCCAGGTTGTGTCTTAAGATGATTTTAAAGTAACCCTGTGTTTGTCTGTAATTAATTAACCAGATCTATTCCTTTGTTATTGCTTTTTTTTTTTTTTAAGTTAGAGTTTCTCTGTGTAGCCTTGGCTGACCTGGAACTCACTTGGTAGACCAGGCTGACCTCAAACTCACAGAGATCCACCTGCCTCTGCCTCTCACGTGCCACTATGCCCACCTCAGTATTTTTTTTTCTTTGAAACTGTTCTTAGCAGGTCATTGTGGTGTATGCTTTTAATGCCAGCACTTAGGAGGCAGAGACAGGCAGATCTCTGTGAGTTTAAGTCCAACCTGGTTTACACAGTGAGTTCCAGGACAGCCAGAACTACAAAGTAAAACCCTATTCCCACTCCCCCCAAAAGAAACTGTTCTCAGATTACTCATTTTAAAAATTATTTTTTTTATTTTTAATGTTATAATATTATAATTACAGCACCCCCTACCTTTCAATTCTCCACAACCTCACGTGCACCTGTTTGCTCTCTTTCAAGGTTATAGCCTCTTTTTCATTAATTGTTGTTTTATACACATACACACATACATGTGAATACATGAATATTACTGAATTCACAAACATACAATGCTTAATCTGTGTATGTTTTCAGGGCCGATCATGTGGTATTGGACAACCGATTGGTTTATTCTCTCCTGGAGAAGACTATTACTCCCTCCCCCAGCATTCTTTTCTTGTCTGTAGTGTTGTTGTTGGGTTGACGTCTCCTGGGCTTGCGCCTACCCACTTTGGTTCTTATTTCTATTGGTGTTGTCCTCATTCAGCTTGCATTTGGGCAGTCATATTGGTGAGACCGTATGGGCTCACTAGCAGGCACAATCTCAAGGCAAACTCCCTCAACTTGGCTCTTTTAGTCTTTTAGTCTTCCAAAATGTTCCCTGAGCCTAGTGTTTCATAGATGTTTCAGATCACTCTAATAGTTGTGGTGATTTGCATGGGATGTTCACAATCAACCTCATGAATTTGAATACTTGATCTCTAGTAGGTATCCCTGTCTGGGTAGGCTTAGGCAGTGTGGCCTTGCAGGAGTAAGTGTGCCACTGCGGATGGGCTTTGAGGTTTCAGAAGCTGTGTGTTATTTCCAGTGAGCTCTTTTTTTTACTGTTTAAACTTCAAAATGTGCCCTCTCAGCTGCAGTTCCATCCATCTGCTGCCTGCTACGTATGCGCCACTATCATAGACTCTTATCCTTCTGAAACTGTAAACCCTTTCTTCTGTAAGTTACTGTGGTCACGGTGCTTTGTCAAAGCAATAGATAATGAAATAAGACAACAGTCCTTTTACATCTGTGCAGACATAGTGTAGAATAAATCCTTAGACTTACTGAGGCTGGTAACTTGTCTCAATGTGTCAGTGTCCTTGTGACAAACCTGACACCCTGAGCTCAGTCCCCAAGATGCATATATGTACTTGGTACCTACATTGTTATTGTCCCAGTAGTCAACCTGCAAGTTGTCTTCTGACCTCTACGTGTACACAGTTGCAGGAGCACACACACACACACACACACACACACGGGAACAAGTGTAACAAGACAAATCTATAATATAGTGAAACATAAATCAGTAACATTGGTACATTGTGTAACAGGGGCTGGAGAATTGCCCAATGGTTAAGAGCTCTTGCAGCTCTTACAGAGGATCTGGGCTCAGCACGCACGTGTGCACCCACACACAAAACATACTTATCTGCTTTTTGTACTTGGTCTCCACCACCTTCTGGTGGCAGCAAGTACCAACTGCTACAGAAATTCACAGGCTCAGTTAAGACAAAGCCTTCAGGATGCAGTCACTGCATTTGCAGTCCCTGACTTAGAAAACACTCATGTCCACATGGGCTTAGTTCCGATCCCCGTCCAGAGGGCTGGATTACTTCTCTGTTGGAAATGTCCACACGAATATGTATACAGACACATTACAGAACTGTAAAAGTCCAACTTAAAGCTGAGTACATTTGGGTTGTTCAAGTATGCTGTATCCACAAGCTGTATTTTGACTCCTGTGTTCTTTCTGACTTAAAATAGAAGTACTTTTGATGGGTTTATCCAATTAAATCAATTGTCTCAGAACCCTTTTTATGTTTTATGTGTGTGGCTGTTGTGCCTACATGCCTGCTCTGTGCACCACTTGAGTGCAGTGCCCTGGGAGACTAGAACAGGGCCTAGGAGTCCCTGAATCTATGTAGGTACTTGGACTTGGGTCCTCTGGCAAGTGTTCTTTTAAACCTTATTTTATATTTTATTTTATTTTATATTTTATTTTATTTTTGAGACAATGATTCTCTGTGTAGTCCTAGCTATCCTGGAACTCACTTTGTAGACCAGGCTGGCCTGGAACTCACAGAGGGGTAAGGGTGGGGAACACCCACCTGGGCAGTTCATTGGTTTCCAGGCAACAGAACTGTTAGTACCACTGAGGCAGCCACTGCCCTATACCCTACCCACCACAGAACTACTAAACTCCCAGTTTGTAGCAGCCTCGAGGAAGGATCTGGCAAGCGGATTATCTTCCTGATTGCTGCTTTATATCCTATCTAGTAGTTGAATTAACTTCCTTGACACTCCTCCCTCTTTTCTTCATTTTCTTTTTTCCTTTTATTCTTTTCTCAGATCATATATCCCTACTGAACTTTCCCATCCCTCCACTCTTCCCAGTCCTTCCCCGCACCTCTGATCTCTTCCCCAGATCTACAACTTCTGTTTCCCTTTAAAGGAGGGAGGGGCAGGCCTCCCATGTAGCAGGCCTCCATGGTACAAGTTGCAGTAAGACGAGGCACGGTGTAGCTAGAGAGATGGCTCAGCGGTTAAAAGCATTGGCTGCTCCCAGGAACCATGCAGTTCACAACTGTCTGAAACTCCAGTTCCAGAGGATCCAATACCCTCACACACATGCAGCTAAAACACCAATGTACATAAAGTTAAAAAATAAATAGTGTGTGTTCAAGACCAGCCTGGTCTACAAAGCAAGTCCAGGACATCCAAGGTATTAGAGAAACCCTGTCTCAAAAACAAACAAACAAACAAACAACCCCCATACACACACACACACACACACACACACACACACACACCAACTTATTTATTTTTGTTTTTATTTTATGTGTATGAGTGTTTGTCTGCATGTATATATATGTGTACTTAAGAAAGCCAAGTGTGCAGCCTTGGAATTCAGTACTACATAGATCAGGCTGGCCTCAAATTTACAGAAATCCATCTGCCTCTGGCTTCATACTCATGATTCAGTCACAGCCTTCTAGATGAAGAAATTCACTCCTGCGGGTTATTGTTGGATCTTCTATCCAAGTTTCCTCCACTGTGAGTGTCCGACACCAATAAAGGATATTATATTATATTATATTATATTATATTATATTATATTATATTAT